ATGTTAAAAAACATGCATAACTTTTATTAGCTAATTTTTGATATCTTCAAAAAATCAGATTTAAATTGAACTAGAACAGGTGCTCTGGAATATATCAGGCAGCAAACCACAGATGTACATATACATACAAATAATAAACATTATTTTCATGTTGTGCATCTCAAATAATAAACATTATTTTCATGTTGTGCATCTCAAATAATAAACATTATTTTCATGTTGTGCATCTCAAATAATAAACATTATTTTCATGTTGTGCATCTCAAATAATAAACATTATTTTCATGTTGTGCATCTCAAATAATAAACATTATTTTCATGTTGTGCATCTCAAATAATAAACATTATTTTCATGTTGTGCATCTCAAATAATAAACATTATTTTCATGTTGTGCATCTCAAATAATAAACATTATTTTCATGTTGTGCATCTCAAATAATAAACATTATTTTCATGTTGTGCATCTCAAATAATAAACATTATTTTCATGTTGTGCATCTCAAATAATAAACATTATTTTCATGTTGTGCATCTCAAATAATAAACATTATTTTCATGTTGTGCATCTCAAATAATAGACATTATTTTCATGTTGTGCATCTCAAATAATAAACATTATTTTCATGTTGTGCATCTCAAATAATAAACATTATTTTCATGTTGTGCATCTCAAATAATAAACATTATTTTCATGTTGTGCATCTCAAATAATAAACATTATTTTCATGTTGTGCATCTCAAATAATAAACATTATTTTCATGTTGTGCATCTCAAATAATAAACATTATTTTCATGTTGTGCATCTCAAATAATAAACATTATTTTCATGTTGTGCATCTCAAATAATAGACCTATAGTAGTCATAAAGCTTTTTGTTTGAAAGACTAATCTTAAATTTTAATTTACCAATAATTTTAAATATGCCTTCAGTACTGCAAGCTGTCTTTGATTTAAATGTTTAAAGAGAAATGTTTTCAAGCCCAGTAATTCACTACTACATGTAGTTAACCCAGTCCCAGTCACAATCATATTTCTCATTATCTTGTTATTCATAAGTATAAATTTGTAACATGTGTCACTATCATAGTAGATTTAATGGGGGTCCCAGTGGCATAGTTATTTATAAAACATAGACAAAGTGCAGTGACAACTAAACATGTATGATTTGTTCTCTTATTGCAGCAAAATAAAGCCTTGTGCATGTTGCCAATGACATGTTAGCAAATCTTTTTTTGTAAATATACCAATGATGAGATAATCAATAATCAACTGTTCAACAGCATTCACTGACTGTTTACAAATAAGCTACAGTTCATCTGATAAAACAAAATAAACAATATGCCTTTCTTCTAAGCCTTTCTAAAGGCAAACAATATGCAAAAAATATAGCAGTCGTAGCATTCACACACATCTCCTTAGCAAGGGCCATGTTATACCTCCATGCATGGGCTAAGAGGTCAAATACCGATACCTTTATAGCCAGTGCCAAGAAAACGTGTATGAATGCTTAATGTAGGCTAACAAATGCTAAGTAAAAATTAAATCTGGCCTGTTTTAATACCCGGTTCAGTTTCAGCTAACAATCGTGTGCGTGAACACTTAGCCCAAGCTATGGAGGTAAAAAGAGACTCTTTTTACCTCCATGCCCAGGCTAAGCACCCAAAACGCCATTGTATTCAATATTCATTCGGATAATTTACTATTATATTAAAAATTACTCATTTCATCATGCCATTTCTATCATGACAATCAACACGATTTTTGTATATTCTTAACAAGTTTAGGAAGCACCATCCAAGCAGAATTCAGATTTTTTAAACTGGTTATACAAATGTAGTTACCGGTACTCATGTTTCTTTTTCTCTGTACCTCAATAGGTTTACAACAAAGTGGATCAGATTTCCATAGAAGAAGTTGACAGAATAGCACATCAACCACACTGCATTGTTACTAGCTGTGAGATGAAACTCAATCTAGATTATTTTATTGATGTCGTGTGGGAATATTTGGCACTTATACGAGTATATACGAAGAAACGCTCAGGTTAGTTTACATTGTATGTTAATCCATAGTTCATTCATCTGTGTGTATAGTTGTATATGATATCACAAGGATGTATGCAATATATCGCAAGCCTGTATATGATATCATGTATATGTTTATATAACACATCTAAAATACTTCATTTTCGCTTGGAATTCAGGGAAAATAAAATCCTGTGAATATACCTTTTTAGCTCCGCTCTCGACTTTGTCGAGCGGAGCTTATCATATGAGTGATTGTCAATGTTTTACTTATTCGACTTCTTCTTGAAAACTACAAGCCTGAATGCTTTGATATTACATATATACCGGTAGGTACTACATGTGCACCTCTCTCAGATTTGTTCATTTCGTGTAATATCTTCAATTCTCTAATTTTGATGAATATTTTTGTCCTTTTTGGTAAAAAGTGATATTTTTGACGAGTCTGTTTGCTTTGACATTACATATATAAGTACTACATGTGGACCGCTCTCAGATTTGTTCATCTTGTGATGATATCTTCAATTCTCTAATTTTTGTGAATATTTTTTGTAATTTCTGATAAAAAGTGATATTTTTGACTTGTTAAAAACGGCAAGTCCAATTGCTTTTATATTACATATATAGGTACTACATGTGGACCTGTCTCAGATTTGTTCATTTTGTAATGATATCTTTAATTCTCTAATTTTAGTGAATATTTTTGTCATTTTTGATAAAAAGTGATATTTTCGACTTGTTAAAAACCGCAAGTCCAATTGCTTTTATATTACATATATAGGTACTACATGTGGACCTCTCTCAGATTTGTTAGTCCCCGTTCGGACGGTCTCCGTCCGTCCACGCGTCCATCCGGAGTCGTATCTCAGAATCCCTTGGACCGATTCCGTTCATTCTTTGCATGTGCCTAGTACTTTATCTGGGACATATGCACATGCAGTGGTTTAGCGATTCGATTCAAAATGCCCGACTGGCAGTCATTTTGTTTTTTGAAAATGTTGTATTTTGGACATGCTTTGTCAGTTTTCATTCAAATGTGGTACATAGATTATACATGTTAGGATACGTGTCCATGACGATTTATTTCACAATTGGATCAAAGATGGCCGACTGGCAGCCATCTTGTTATTTGAAAATGTTGTATTTTGGACATGCTTTGTCAGTTTTCATTCAAATTTAGTACATCGATCATACATGTTAGGATACATGTCCATGACCATCCGTGAGTTCCTGAGTCTGTCCGTCTGTCCGTCCGTCCGTCTGTCCGTCCGCCCGCCCGTTCGTCCGTACGTACGTTCGTTCGTCCGTTCGTTCGTTCGTTCGTCCGTTCGTCCGTTCGTCCGTTCGTTCGTCCGTTCGTCCGTTCGTCCGTTCGTTCGTTCGTCCGTTCGTTCGACCGTTCGTTCGTGCATCAGTCTGTCAATAGTAATATTTCAGAATCCTGTGGACAGATTCTGTTCATTCTTTGCATGTGCCTAGTACCGTAAAAACTCAATCAATTCGGCCATGTAAAAATAAATATTTTTGGGGGTGGGCCAATTGACTGAATAAATATAGAAAATATGTTTCCGAAGTGGTCGATTTGTTTGAATAATTTTTCAACGTTTTAAAACTGGGTTTGAAGTA